ACACCCAGAGCACGGGGCACAGGGCGGCATCCAGGCGGGTTGGGAAGATCTCCAGAGAAGGAGACTCCACAGCCTCCCTGGGCAGCCTGTGCCAGAGCCCTCTGARCTCATTTCTAAAATAACATCGACCACTGCTCATCAAAAACACTATGCAGCACCATGATTTTGAGATATTTGCATTTCATGTGCAGGAAACTAATTCACAGTATGGTGCGTGCATCAGTCTGCCCGTGTTTGGCTGTTAAATAAGCTGGGGCTTTTATAGAAACTTGCATCTTTTTCAGAGATTTCTCACCCTCTGGTAAATCCTTTTTTTTTTAATCTGAAGCCAGGGAACTGGCAGTTGTTTAATTTGTTCAACACGCAGAACTTTTTTTAAGGAAATTTAAACAGTATGGCCAAGGGGTTAAAATTGAAATACATATTTAAGGTTCCTCACAAAATGGGTGAAGCTAATATTAAAGATCATCTTTCTGTAAAGAGCTGTACATAATATAAATTCTCGTTTTTGTGCAATGAACATGTGAATCAAAGAGAATAAAAGGCATTAATGAAATCATTTTCCTGAAAAACACCAGGAGAATTTTTCAGCTGTTACAGAAAAGTTAATCAAAGTGGSCATTTCTATGTATATCCTTCTGAACAGGGAACAGATATTCTTTCTAAAAGACTAGCGTTTAAGCAATATGCCTGAATTAACTGCCTTGCACTCCAAACCACAGGTACCGGAGCATAAAGGTGCCTGGGTGTAATACAACAGGGCTGGATAACCAGAAGCTCACTCCAATATAACACTCTCAGTGTGTTTCCAGTTTTGGCAGTGGACAGAGAAACAGAAAATAAAAGCACTTTAAAAGATCAGTTGCAGTTTTGCAAATGGCAGTAGACCTTCTTTCTGCAGTATGTTCTTCCTCTCATGAGGACTGAAAGTTCAGTATTAATAATTGCAGGTTCTCCAAAGCTAAATCCTGAGATCTCAGCACCCTTTGCAAAAACGTTTCTTTGAAGTTATCTGCTCTGTCATCTAACTCGAGATGAGGCTGAGCTCCAATGTTAATGGCCACATAGGGCCTGTCCCCACACTGGGGTCAGGCTCCAGAGCTTCCCTCCGACTCCTGCGTGGCCCTGCAACAAAACAGGGCTAAAGCCAAAGCCTCCTCCCAGATCTGMCCGTGGCTGGACCACTTCTTACCTAACGCAAGCAGGCACCGCTTTCCCTTCGCCCGCGCCGTGCATGGGAGGCGGAGGTGGTGGCTCGTGCGGTCTCACCAACACTCTCTCCTCCGCTCTGTTCAGCAGCTCAGACATCTGGCTATAGGGCAACGCAGAAAGGGAATACGATCCATCCAGATGATCCATGTATGCTTGAGATCTGAAGGAAAACAGGTGTATTTTTCTTAAGCAGGATAAATGCATTCCAYTCATCAGATGTACGCATTAGTAAAACTATTAATGCTCCCACCTACTGCTCTGTATTTCAGTTTGACTTCTCAAGATAAAATCTCTCTCTTGTACTTTTTAGTAAGGTAGCACTCGCACAGGCTTTTCCCTTTTCCAGACACAAATCACTGCTTCCGAGAGTTACGGCAATTATCCGCTCTTACTAATAAGCTTACGGCTCTTTTGGCCAGCAAAGAGGGAAAACAAAASAAAATAACYSCCCTAACTGTTCCTTAGAGGACAACAAACATTTATTACAGAAACAAAACCCCTGAATAAGATCATACTACCTCAAAACCCCTAACATTACTAGAATGCTTATTACAAGTTTCTCAGCTGCTAGGATGCACTTTGCTCTGCCCAGACACCTCAAGAGGAAGGCCAGCAYGATCCATCTCATGATCCACCTCGCTGGAAAGGCTGCTTTTAGCCACCTGCAAATGCCCGCTGTGAAGCGAGGAGCCAGCAGGTTGGCGGGTGTAATAGGCTGTAACCACAAACGTCAATCACATTTGGGACTTGCTCAGGAGTGAAGGAAAGCTCAGTGATYTCATCCGAGGCCCAAACGGACGTTTGTTCGCATTACACCCACCATATAGTCTTGGCAGTTTCTGCTCCAGAAAAACCAAGAGACTGGAATAACTGGGGGTTTGTAGGTCAAGGCTGGAATGCAGCAACACACCTGGGTGCAGCAGTGACATTTAGGCTTTCCTCAACTCGGAGGAAGGCACCTCCATAGCCTCAAAGATATAATGAATTCCAGACAGGTACACTACTTTTAAAAATAAGAGGAGAATAGTAACTCCTTTAAAGGCAGATTGGCTATGAATTTCAAACTGATTTGGGGCTGAGCTAAATCAATGACTTGCAGTGCACTTCTAGAACGGAATTGGTACTTCCAGTACCACTTTATCATTTATCCCTCCTCAAACATATCTACTGTGCAGAACAAACAGCTCCATTTAAAGAAGGACAGAGAAGAAAACAAATAAAAAGAAACCTTGATTCGAAATGTGAAGCTGGGCCATTAGCCACTTCAATGTGCTTATGTAAGAGGTTAGCATCATCCTCGGCRAGCTCCGGACCTTGGGCTAACTTCTGCCACTCTCTCCGTCTGTCATGAGGTGCCCTGGGCACTTTTTCGGGTTCATGCGGGCGATCGAGATTCTTCTGCTGTGGGAGAGTTGTGCAAATACAACTGACAACTGAGACAGGGCTTTTAAACCAGTCRCAGAGAAACATCAGCCACAGAACGATGAAAACAAGCCCAATTACAGTGCAAGAAACATTCGAATTTCCGTCTAAATGGAATATGTAAAACCAAAAAACTTTTGGGTGGTAGCAGCTTTACTTTAGTGGATAATTAGCTGAAGGATACGGTGAAGAATAACTGTATAATTAGCCTCTTCATTTTGAAAGGTGAAACGAAATTCTAAATCTGCTTCTGACACTTAAATTTACTGTTTCTAGGTATGAAATACAGAAAATAACGGCAAAACAAACAAACAAACAAAAAAYTGGCTTTACAGAATTGTTTACTTAAGAAAACATAAATACAGAGCTCTGCATCTACTAACTTTTTCCTAATTTTTAGAGAGCCTATCTAAAAATGGCTTTTTCTTTCATACATGTCAGTATTTTATTCTGTAAAAARTGGTTCCAGTGAAATCCTGAACTCTCACTGTACTCCTGTGTAACTCCGCATTTCTTTTGAGTCATTGTTAGAAGGCTTARTAAGTTTGGGAAACTCTTGTGTTAGTTATAGTAAGACAGCATGAAAGCTCTAAGCCCTATTAATAGTCGTTTATTACCACCATCATTATTATTTATTTAAGTTGATGGAATTGAATGATTTCAAGTAGTTTTAGCTAGATAGAGAATATCATGATTATCTATATAAAATCCAAGCTGCTTTTATTGCATAACCCAAAAAGTAACTTATGTGCAAGCAAAGCTTCCCAGGGAAAAAAAAAAAAAAAAAAAGAAGTCCTCATCTTCACCCTCAAAAACCAAAAACCAACCAAAAAAAAAAAAAATCCCAAACAAAAAAGCAGCACAACAACAACAAAAACGCAACCAGAAGTTATTTAGAGTTAACATATATACCTTCTGCTTCCTCTTCTCTTTTCTTTTATCCTCAGTGTCCTGCAACATCTTTTCCTTCCATAGATCAAAGAAGTAGGAAGGATTGGTATAAAACTTCAGACCTTCTTTTCCATCATCCCTGAAATGCAACAATATAAGCAATGCTGTTCATCTGATAATACAGGTCTCTAAACACTAAGGAAAAATAACAGCATACTAAAATCCACCTTGCACCAGAGACCCTAAGTATTTTGCTGATCATCAACAATAAAAAGATGAACATTGACCTCCAAATGCCATCAATCCTCAGTGCCTTTCCTTGTATTCAAGATCTTTATTTTAGAAAAGTAGTTTTAGTGTTAGTTGTAAACAAAAACAGTACCATAAATACAGAACTTCTTTCCTGCCAATGGCTCAAATCTTGCTCATAAAATAATAAGTCTGTCTGTGTGGTTAGGGTTGAAACTACTGATTCAAGCCAGCTTTTGGCAGGCAAACAACATCCATTTTCATCAAAGGACTTTCCTTTCTACAGACTTAATCACCTATTTTCTTCACTTCTTATCCAACACAGTTCAAGATATGCAGATGTTGAGGAAGGCTACTCTTGCAACTGTTCCACTGTATTTTTTTTCCAAAGAAATAAACTTTTAATACTTAAAATGTCTTCTGCTACCTGTACTCCTCAAGTACCTTCACAGTCTCAAGTGCAGCCCCTTAAATATTCAAGCACTATTCAACCTAAGCATGGTACCTAAATACAGCACTGTATTACACAACACAGAATATATAACTGTAATAATAAACATTTTACTTACTAAATATACCAGGCATTGCTTTTGCTAGCCTTATACTGACCTGTAAGGGGTGAGAATGTTAAGAGGAGGAGGCTGTTCACAAATGTCATACGTTTCTTGCAAAGGAATAGGCAGAGTTTTGCGGTCAAACAGCTGCTGATCCTGAATTGTGGAACTTCGGAAAGCTTTCCTCATTGTAATGTCCTGCAGCGACACTGGAAGCAGATATCTCCATTAACAGATGTGACCAAAGACAGTTTATTATGTGCTTTAACCTGCAGTTGTTTAATGTTGGCTGGAATRTAAGTATTAAACACTATTGCCAAACCCTTACGTTAAGCACAGGCACACTTTACAGTGGATATGAAGTCCTGCAACACTACTGTYATGGCAAGACATGGTCAGATTATGTGAAAAACATGCTCCARTGTTCAAGCACATTATCCTTTATTTGGTTTCAGAGGAATTTTTTTCTCACCTGGGCTGATACCAGACCTCTGTCTCTACAAAGAGCTCCACAAATCCCTTACTATAGCTCCACAGTGTAAGCCTGTAGTTCACAAGTACCCAACATTTACCAACTGTTTTACCTCTTGCTTCTAAACAATGATTTCGTATCTTGAGGGGAAGAKTTTGTGTTTAACTGCCCTCAGCATCTCCACTTTGCAGTCCTTGAACACACTTAGCAGTTCCACTGAAGACCCTTGGCCAAATCAGCACATCACTTTAGCTCATTCTACTGATGTCAGTGAGACTTCATGGGGGATACAGTGTTCCAGGACATGACAAATGGGTTTCTTTAATCAGCTTGTTTAATCGAGATGACACTCCCTTGTTTAATCAAGATGAAAATCCTTACTGTTATTACTGCAATTAAATCCTACATATCCTTTTTTTTTCCCTTTTCCCTACAGCCATTAAAATTTAGAAAACACTTAGCACTTTGAGCAGAAATAATCTTGTGATGATTTTTAAAAGACTAAAGGACAAGTGACTGCAGAAGATGTGAAGTCTTTAGAAGTCTGAAGATTTCTATTGTATAATCCCAAAGGGGCAGAAGGTAGGACTTTTTTCCCTCACCCAGAGATCTTGCAGTTCCTGGAATATTCTCTCTTCTTACCTAAGTGCACGAGCAGAAGCCTTTGTGAGGCTACAAAAGGGATTTATTTGATTTTCAGTTGCGCTTTTGAGGTTTATTGCAGTTGGCAAGGTTGCGTGTTACCAGAGAAGTCTTCTCCTCTTTACCCTTAGGTTCTATTTCATTACAGTGTCTTTTATCCTTTTTAATACCTTAATTAGCTGCTCAGAAGCCTTTTAAGTAGTGAAAGTAGTACTACTACTAACGCACAAATGCCAGCTATGAATYTCAATTTCTGCATGTATTTTTGCGCTCCTAAATAACCACATATAATTTGTGCCCGTCATGGAGTACAGGTTGTTATTTGCTACCCAATTTTCACAATTAAAATAAAGAACTGGGGTTTATTCCTTCTAAAAATCCAGTCTTAGATTCTTTTATACATCAGCTGTTTTCCTTTGGTTGTTGATTTTGCAAATCTCACCAAATGGACTTGTTCAGAATTGCTTCGTAGTGCTCTAAGTCCTTAAACTACCTCTCATTTATTGGTGACCAGGCCACTAAAAACATAAATTAGGATACTCTTCTTGGAGCCTGTGTACATTCAGATAGTAATGAAACAAATGAAGTATTTTTTCCAATACAGTTCCTGCCTTTAATATTAAAATGGTCATGCTAATTATGCRCATGCATAATCTTTGGGAAGGGCACGTGCTCAAACACAACATTCAGGCAAGTGCCAGGAAAGTGGGTTGCCATTTCTGCTATTCTGCAACTTAACTCAGTCTGTCTTTGCTTGACTTTGGTGGTGAAAATCCTTATGAATCAGTTGACCATAGTGCTAACATCCTGCACGTGGATACCATGACCCACTTGTCACATATGCTCTGCTCTAAACTACTCTTCTGGACACATTCATGTCCTCTAGCTTATTCTAGCCCAGATGAGGACAAAAACAGGGCAATTTGTCATCAGTTTCTAAATTCAAACCCAACAGATGATACTGAAGGAGAAAAGGTTTCCTGATGCCTGGGTTTTGGGGTAATATATTACTGGATTTTTGAGAAAAAGCATTATTGGATTTCCTCTCCCTCTTCCTCTCCTCACCTGGTGACTCATTCTGGGCAGACATCTGTGAGTAAGGCTCAAGGACTGGACGTCCTTAGGTTAATAAAAATAACCATGTAGTAGCTGCTGACACCGAGGACTGCAYGTGCTTCTCTAAAGCACTCGCAGTCCCTGCTAGCCCATGGCAGCAGCCAAACCCAGAGTACCAGGGTTGTGTCACACTGAGCCACTCTGGGCTTGATCAAGTAGACTCCTTTTTTCATTCTCATTTGCTTTAATTGCAGTGTCTGCCCCCTCCTCGGCTATATAATTAGGAAGTATATGTAGTGCTGTGAAAAGCTACTGATCTGGTGCACTTTGAGACTACACATTATTTAAAAATCTTCCTGGAAACTCTCAGCTAGCTGTTAATATTTAGTACTGAAACCTACACCCAAACTTGTCAAGGCCATTTACATGGGGAACTACACATTTCCATTTCCSTACTCTTAGAGGCTTTACCTCTATCCCTTGGAAGGGGCTCTCCGTTTTTCTGAAATGTGAATGGTTGCCATGTCAGATGTGCYGCATCAACATAAAACCCCCTCTGATTTAAACCAATAACTAGGCTGTCAAAGGTAAACACAGAAATGACATTAACACTCTGGAGCATTACATCTSTTACAAGATTGCAATGGCTGAAAATTTGGTACTGTGTACAGAAAGGATTTTTGGCATTATCCAGTCATAGCAAACATGGCATTTTACTGGGAAAGAGGTGTGTGTGTGTTCCTGATTTATGCTCAGTTGTCAAGAGACTTGGAAAATCCCATTAATAWAAGAATTCCCTTAGGCAAGACATGATATTGTGGAAATTTTGCTACTAGCTGTGAGCAGCTGTCTTTCAAAACCTGTTCAAAAATAAATGTCACAAGAGTACAGAAGCAAAATTCCCTTAGCCTAATTTCATTAACAGTGGAAGAGGTAATGAAAGGCAACCTCAGACCATCCTTGCCCTGGTTTGACACTTGACTCTCCTGCATGATCCTCACCACTATTTTACCTAGACACGCAGAAGTGAAACAGCTCTCCATGTTTTTAGAAGGGGATCCTAAATGCAGTCTGAAGTTGTTTCTCAAGACTGGGTGCTGCTCTACTTTATAAGCCTCAGCCACACAATCTAGAACACCCTAAAACTGCTTAGGCTCTTTAGCAGTTTCTTTGCTAGTTCTTTGATAGTTTCATCTGGGACAAACAGATATCCTGGAAGTAAAAAAAAAATATTTCATTAGGTTTGTGCACTAGGTGATCCATGGTCACATACTGTCCTGTAGCAGGTCTAAGGAAAATTCATTTTTAAAAGTTATCCTGTTCAGTAACCATGAAAATCTTGAGCTCAGAAAGTTCCTCGGGGTTTTAAAATGAACCTGCAGGAGAAATCACCATCAGTCTCTTTCTCATGATTTTTGCAGAACATTCTGTATGTATTTAGAATGTAAACTATCACTGTTTCTGTTTCACTTATCAATGGCATTTGGATGGCAGAATAACAGCTCTTCTCTGCAGGAGCAAACTTACGTTCCTCCTCTTTTGGATCAAGCTGCGTAACGCTGACAGACAAGCGATCTACACGTTCCTGCAAGGAGTTGACTCTGAAGGAGAAGCTGTGTGCTTCATTGAAGAGTTCTCCAAATATGTCTTCTGCATATTTACCTGAAATAGGAAAGAAAAAAATACACATTCTTTTGTCTGTCACAAGACAGCCGAGTGAGTGTGCCTTTAAACATATTTCTGATGACTAATGTGTTTAAATCTGAGACGTATGAGCACTACCAGTAACAAACTGTACAGAATTAGCTTACTAAGAATGCTTGAGAAAAATAATAAAGAGAGAAATGTTTAATTTGCAATTTATCTATCATAAATTAAATTATTTCATTCAGGACAGATCTTCAGCTGCTATAAGCAGGCTGGCTCTGCTGACATCCAAGGAACTGATTTAGTTCCTTAGGTACAAAAGGATGATTCACAGCATCTGAAGCTGCTCCCATAAGAGGATTAACTAATCTTTCCAAGGGAAATTTAACTCAGCCTTTCTCAGAGAGAAGTACTTCTTCCACTACTACTGTTCAGAAGATCTTCCGAAAAGGAAGATTAGATATTTACATCTAGTGTAATTTGAGCCAGCCTATTCATACATTAAAATAATAAATCTTTCTTTGAAGGATCCAAATCCTGGTAATTGACCAATTTCTACAGGAGTAAAGAATAACAATCTTCTTTATGCACTCCAGTGGGCATCCCACATTTAACCCAATAGCAAAGGAGATTCAGATATCATGGAAAAAGGGTCAGCAGTGCATTTCTGCCTTACAGGAGCAGCACTCCTTTGCAGCAGCAGTTATGCTACCAATGTTTGGGATCAGTCTGGGCAGTGTCACTGAAAAGTGCACCAGACATCAGCAAAGTTTGGACCCGTATTTCTGAAAGACCACAGGACAGGTTTTTAAATTATCTATCACACCATGTGTGCGTGTGCAATTTGTGTGTCATCTGTGCACTCGCCAGGCTTTTGGAAGGATAATCACACAAATTTCTAATTACTTGGTATGCATGCGAGTTTTTGTAAGTACAATAGAAAAAGAAAAAAAGAATAGAAAACTTCTGAAAATTTTGCCTTTTTTAGACCATATATCTAGAATGACCCATAAAAATGGGGATGCTTTTAAAAAAAGATACTAAAGTGACCCATCCCAGAATTAAATCCTAGCAGTAGTATGAAAACTATAAACCATGGAGCAAACCCAGGGTTAATGCACACAATTTATTAAGACCTTGAGGAAGGGCAATAGGAAATCAGCCCAACGACAAGCAAGAGAACACAAAAAAGGACAGTAGAAGAAAGAAGGCAACCATCAAAAGCTGAGGCCCTGTAAAAATGAAGAAAATGGGAAGGATCTTAAATTCTGTCACGTTAAATATATATAAAACAAAATAAAGATAGGCCAAAAATTAGCATGAGGAAGAGCCAGTCATAGAATCAGAACTCCTGAACACTGCTCCAAGCCCATGAGTGGCAAGAAACCTGCCAGGGAGTCTACAGAGGCAGCTGGTAACGAAGAGGGTACAAAAGGAGCACTCCGTAAAGCCAAGGTCATTGCACACGAGCTAAACTGACCCTTTCCACCGGTGCTCACAGGGCAGGGAGCTGCAGGGATTCWCAGGCCAGAACTCTTCCTTGCGAGATACTCGGCAGGGAAACTGAAATGACTACAGAGAAGCTTAGGGGTAAAAAAAATGGACAAAATGAACAGTAAAATATAAGCGGCAATCTGCAAACCTTAATGCCTGCAGCCTGTAAAGTGGAAAGCAAAAACTAAAAAATAATGTTGTTCTAAAACATTTTTCCTGGAGCATCTGGAGAGCTACAGGTCAGCAAGCCTGACATCTATACCAATAAATTAGTACAAGCATCGTTATTAACACATTTCTCATTATACGGAGCTGAATTAATAGAYGCCTGGATGACCTACTTGAGAAGAGTCAACAGGGCTCTTGTTGAAGGAATTCTTTGAAGGATTTATAAACACATGGATGGAGTGCTAGGMTCCAGTGACATTTCCGAGAGAGATTTTAAAGTCTAACCACAGAGCATGGAAAAGACATAGTATGGATAAAAAATTATCAAAAGATAGGAAATGAGGGATAGAAGGAACCAACCAGTTTTTACCACACAGAAAGGTGAGCTTTTGTGAGTTTCCATGCTGGGGTCTATGGTATTCCAGCTATTCACAAAYGACCTGCAAACCCTGAAATTAAAGTCTCCCTGGTGGCACAAAATGCTGGAGAGCATTGGAGCATCCACATGGAGCATCCCTAACGCTGCAGCTGGCTGAGGAGCTTCCCGAGCCGGAGGGGCAGACTGGGACATGGCGGGGAGAGGATCGCGCCGCTCGCCCCGCTCCAGCGCTCCGTGATCCGYCAGGGCGAGAGCAGAATCTCCTTCAACTACATTTCAATTTACATTTAGTACATATATCTATACACACACACACTTTACCTTTCGGATAGTGTATTTCAACATATTCTAATTATTCAAATAAACTAGACGAYGCAGAGTATTCTGAGGCATACAAATTACAATTAAGATCAAGCGTAAAATTTCATGTATAGAATAAAAAGCAAAATCAGAAGGCTCTAAAACCCAACAGCTCCCTCTACAAAGACATACTTTAAGGCTACAGTTTGTTTTCTCTTCATCATTTCATCAAGCTTCCAATTCACCTGCCTCACTAATGAGGCCTGACTGCAAATAAGCAGCCTCAAAATCTTTTTATTATGCTGCATACAGCCACAAACATCGTGCAGAGTAATTTGCCCAGGCTTATAAACACTAATCCCTCAAATGAGACATACATTTAAAGCAATCTGTGTGTTTGAAGTGGTATGCCAGCCATAATGTCGGTACCTACACATGCCTGCTGGCAGCCTCCTTTTCAACTKGAAGTTTATTTAACTAAATGTTTTTTTTTTCAAGCGATGCAAAAYGTTTGCTTTTAGTGAAACGAGCGACTTCTGCTCAAAACATCCTGTGTGTGCATATGCATATGGGTATAACATTGATAATCCGGGATTTGTGTTGTGATTAACGGCGCATAATCTAGATAAATCATGTCCCTTTTGAGCAGTGCACAAAAGGTGTGATAATGCTGAGCCCCACACAGCAGCACAAAACCTCAGCTCAAGAAAAATCTTCCAATAAAAACCTGACATCCTGCACTGAGCTCAGTGCTGGGGCTCAGCAAGCAAAGCCGAGCTCCTTGCAGTTAAYGTGTAAGCAAGACGTTAGAATGGTAAAGGACCAAAATTGATTCTATTATATAAAATGAATATTGTGGGTCTGTTCTTAATATGGAGGGAAATGTATATCCCTGCTTGTTTTTGCAGAGCTGGTCCTGGCATTTCATGCAGGACTATGCAGAGAATGACAGACGACTGTGACAATTAAAGCAACGCCGCAGGAGCTGGGTCACAGCTGGATGCATAATATCCGATGAGAAAGATCAGCGATCTTATTTGCCTATTCCATTAAACGCCGATATAAACTTCTGCAAATACCTAATTTCAACATCTGCGACGAGTTTATTTTAGTGGATTTGCAAAACATGCCTAATTGACCAGAACTACACATTGAACTTGCCATTTTTGTAACAAAAAAAAGCTGAACACTCTCCAACGTGCCTAGCTCGACTTCTCCAACCATTTTATTTTTACGGCGTTTATTTTTATTAGTAGAACATTGTGCTTGGCACTTACACACGGCGCTACGTTACTATTTACATTTAATTAAGGAATGTATTATTCACATTAGGGCCCTTCTCTCTCCAAAGGCTGTTTTCGGGACAGCCCATGAGAAAGGAAGGGACCCAGGAAGGCAGCTCCCTCTGGCGAAAGGCTTGGAAGTGACACGTGGAAAGGCTTGGAAGTGACACCCGGCCCTTCCTTCCCCTGGGAATGCGGAGGCTTTTGACAGCCTTTTTCAAAGGGTTCTCTTCCTGACATTGAAGGCAGCCCTGTGACAAGGCACCACTGCTAGCTTAAAATAGAATAGAAACAATATTGCTCACTGTCTTCCTCATTTTTTTAAATTAACCCCCCCTCAAAAATGCATCATCCATGTCTGTTCATCACCATGGCAGTAAGTACACAGTGTCCTACAGAACTGGAAAGGCTGCTCATCAGCTTTACATTTCTCATCTCTTGCCAGTTTTTCCTCTTAATTTCTGCTTTATCTCCTGATTTYTTTACTCCATAATTTCTAACATATTTAAAAACGTTGTCCAGCATTGGTTTCTGCCCACAAATAATTTCTAATTAAGTGCATACAGTATTATGAAGGGATATGAATCTTTGAATGTAAAAGAAAGCTTTTTTCTGTCTCACTCCTGGGACTAAGGCAGGCATTTACTATCATTATCTACAGTTTTGAACCTTATTCCGACCTTATTAAACATTTAATTTAATCCATATTTTTGCAAGCAGATGCATCTCTTGCAAGCCATATATTGTGTYGTACAAGTTCCTAGAACCAAGCTAAAATGCTGCGGGATCAGGGCATAAATTGGCAGCTGCCCAAAAAGTCAAGGCCTTAAATYGACCTGAATTAGGGCATTCTCTAACACTGTGTCCACTGGCAAACCTGGAGGAAAGGACAGTGAAATGGATCATTTCACAACACCACATCAATAACCACTAGATTTTAGTTGAAGTCTCTCAGACAAGACATGTGTATATTGTAATATATGCTCATATATTGAAATATAAAAGCAGCAAAATAGTGTTATTATATAATTATTATGTGATTATAATTATTATTATTATATAATTACTAATTAGAATTGAAATTATGCCTGATTTAGTTGTTTAATTCTTTTAAAAAAGACATAMATTGATAAAAGACTAGAAAAAATAAGCCAGGAACTGCCTGCTACACATCTATATGAACTAACATGTTATTTCCTGATTTCTACCATTTCAATCCCATTTACTACTAAACAATATTTTGTCCAGTAAATTTTCAAAAGAGAATAAAGGAGCAGATCAGAAACAGCTAGAATAAACACCTCCCATCCTACTGCACAGACCCTTCTCAGCACGCTGTATTCTGCCAAATTGCATTATTCACTGCTGAATTAATATATTCACTGTGTTTC